TTTGGGTCAGACTATGAATAGTAAGACTTACCGTAGTGTTCTTTGCTACCGGGTGGGTGTTCTTTTGTTCTCCGTTTCAACACTGTGTTCTGCTTGCTCAAGAGTTTTTGATGGGTATATTTATGGGGATCATGCACTGTCATGTGCTGGGATGGTAGGTATTAAACATCGACACAATGTTGTTCGTGACAACCTTGTTGATATTTCTTTTCAGTTTGGGATTTTTGCTCGAAAGGAGGTTAACGTTGGGTTGACTGGAGGGAACGACGGGGCTCTTTGACGTTGCTTTATTCCTGGGATAGAGGCCTTGATGTATGTGTTGACTTGACGGGGTCTTCACCTTTGACACAATCGGAGTTGTCTGACTTTGTCGTTCCTGGTCGTGTTCAATCGGGGTTGTCTGACTTCGTTCCTGGTTGTGTTGTGTCGGCTGCGGCTCAACGGAAGCGGGACGAGTATGGGACGCGTTGCATGGCTATTGGCTATGGTTTTCTTCCTTTCTCCTTTTCTCCGTTGGGCGAATTAGAGAAGGATGATATTGCGTTGCTAAAGCGGGTTCAGGCGTTCGCTAAGGCTCAAGATATTGGTGCTCGTGCAGCTGCTCACATCTTTAACAGGATCGGGTTCGCTATACCTAGAGGCGTGGGGGCTCGGATTGTATCTCGGCTCCCCACCAATTTAATTTCTTGTAAATTGATTGACCTTATAGGTTTTTTTGAAATTTATTATAATAAAAATAATAATTAAAATAAATAAATAAATAATAATAATAATAATAATAATAATAATAAATTAATTTGAATATCCAATCATAATGTTTACTGCACCAAAATTTTACCTCTACTATAGCTTAAATCTATTCAATTATTCGGATCTAATTTTTTTTCCTTCTGCATTCCAAATCTCTTTCTATTTTGTTTTAATTTATTGTATTAGTATTTTATTCCAATTATTCACAAGGGAAATATCAATTGTAGTAGAGTTGTTTGATCTTCTCTTCTGATGCAAAATTGCTATTATTTTTTATTTTGATAAATCGTGCATAGAACGAGCCTAACCTAGTTTACCTAATCAAATCCTGTAAAACCTTGCTATAAATCCATTCGTTTCAGTCACACTAATTTGATGGGTATAAAAAATAACAATTTACATAAGTATGGTTTGTTTAAAACTTATTTACCGTTGGCTCTGGATTAATACTTATTACAAACCTGCTCTCCACATAGAATAGGAGTAAATTTATTTAATATTTTTCATTTTAGTTAGAGCAAATCACTATCCTACATAGCAATTATACTTCATAAATACATTATACTAATTTTAGTGAGTTTAGTAGATACATCCAAAGGTAAAACCGCTATTTCGTTTGGTATCGCTGTGGCATTCTGCTTTTTAGTTTCAAAAATCATATGATATATGTCCTATACTGAATCTAGAGTTGTCAAACTTTTTTAAAATCATGCTAGTTTTCAAAAAGTGACAATTGAAAAGCAAAAATAACATTTTCTAGTTTTTTGTTTTTTTTTTCAAAAATTAAGAAAATTAGTAAACAATGTCAAACAAACTCTTTAGTAGCAATTCGCACTACGTTTTTTTTAAAAAAAAATTCAAATAATTGTATTTGATCCTACAAGGAAAGTACATTAGTAATTAATTTTTTTTCATCTAACACAAAAGTGTAATAAATTTTCAAAATGACAAAGTTTTGTAAATCACCCATACAGACAAATACGCTACAAGCCTTCTTTTTTATATTCTCCAATTATGTATCTTTCAGTTAAATACTAGTTTTTGAGCTCAGGCGATGCCCTGTGTTATTACATAGGGTTGATCATTAATATACATTGTAATTTATAACTCAATTTTTTTGTAATTAATTGTATTGTTCTTATTGATTTGTCATTTGTTACATATTAATATTTTGTATTCAAAAAAATACATAAAAAATAACTTGGCTTGGTGGTAAAACACTTAAATTAGTTTTAAATTTAGAGGTTGCGTGTTCAAATCTTGTGGAAAGTATTTTTTTTTTAATTTATCAGTGCATGATGTGGCGTAATGATTAGTTTACGTGACACGTAGACGTTCTTAGGAACACCTTGTGCATGACATGGCGCAATAATTATTTGAATTGGTGAAGTGGCGTGATGAGGGGAGTCAACGTGACACGCGAACATTCTTATAAACGTCTTTTAATATATTAGTATAGATAGTTATTTTTTATGTTCATGGGAAAAACATTTCCATGATCATCCAGAAACTCCATCAACCATCCCGGCATCCTCTCCATCAACCACGAGTACACGATACCATAGCCTTTGTGTCAACCATGCTATGTTTGTCACCTAATTCATCATATGTTTTTTTGCAAACAAAATTGTTTATAAATTTTACATTTAAAAAAAAATGGTCTTTTTGATATTTTAATTCAATTGGACTTTTTGTAACTCATTTAGGTTGTTGTATAAAACTAATGATGTTAATTTTTAAAATATTGTTTGACATACGCATCGCGTGCATATAAAAGCTAGTTAAGTTTAAAAAGAAAAGAGAACAAAAATACAAAAAGTTGAAAATGTAGGACGTTTTTGGCAAATAAGAGAAAAAAACGCCAAATGAAAAGTGACCTATGTTATTCATGGACCATTTTTTTTTAGTAATCAATCCAAAGACAAATAAGATAAATTGACAAAGACTTGCCCAAAAAAAAAAAAAAAAAAAAACTGGTAAAGAATACTAGCTAGATTAATTACGTTCACATTATTCAAAATTCCCCCCCCCCCTAAGGTAATTAAGTTTTGTAATTTTCACCTTACTAGGATCGTGAATAGTTAACTATGTCCGGGAATCTTTTTCAATTTGATTTTATGTCACAACTTTAGTTATTGGTAACATTAACGAGAGAAAATATTAAAACAAAATTTTAGGGGTAGTTCCGCACACTATTTTCTAAGTGTTGAGTAAAAGAGTAAGAGTCCCTAACAAAGTAACAAGGATCTAATTGTTCAAACACGCATGTGGTTAAAAATTCCAAAAAGGCTACTTCACGCATGTGGTTAAAAAAATAGGAAAAATAAAAAGGAAAAAAAGGTCAAACAAGTGATTTGCATGCATAAAAATGAGGGTATACATGTAGTTTGACATTTTTAGGGATATAGTTGGCTTAACACTATTCATAAGTGTGTTGTTACACTTTTAGGGGGGCGATTGGTTCACATAATTAAGATATAAGGTATGAGTTTAGAATGGTTTAAATACCTTATGCTTGTTTTATGATTTTAAATGTTTCAAACCCATACCTCAAACCCCCAAGATATGAGGTTTAGAAACCTTTGGGGGGGGGGGATGGGGGAGGTGGGTTTGGCTCATTCCCATACTTTTAGGTATTAAATAAAAGAAAAAAATTGCATTCCATAAACATACCAAACATATGGTATTAAGAATCAAGTTCCAAACCCATAACACTATGATTTTATTGTTGATTCCAACTTCATACCAGTCTGCGAACCAAACACCCTCTTAATAAGGTAAAGGAAGGAAGATTTGATTCCGGTGAATCGGGTGAGGCAAACTCAAAAAATAAAAAATAAAAAAAATTACATCAAATTTGAACGGAGTAAGATAATTGTCCTACAATTTAAATATACTATGTATATTGATAATTTTTTTGATGATTTATAATCTATATCTATATTATAATTACATAGTCAGTTAATGAGGTTTCTCCAAAACCTCAATCCTCAACTCTCATGAGTTTAAGTTTTTTATTTTTTTTAATAACTTTCATCTTTCTTTCTAAAAAAAACATATTTATATGTATACCATGCGCTAGCACGGATATACTCTAGTCATACTAATTACAGAGTCAATTAATGAGATTTCTCCAAAACCTCAATACTCAACTCTCATGAGTTTAGATTTTTTTTTAATAACCTCCCTTTAAGAAACTTCCATTTTTTTAAAAAAAATTTCCGTCTTTTTTACGGAGTATTATTTTTCCTTTCTAAATATACATGTATACGGTGCGCTAGCACAGATATACTCTAGTTTTATTAATTCGAGGGAAAAGTCAGCTAAAGTCATACGACACATTTTTTATTTTTATTCCCTTTTTTTGAGTTAAGCACACAATTAGGTACTCAATTGTTAAAAATTTCACCTTTTAGGTACTCAATTATTTTTACTTTGCTTTGGGTACTGAGTTAAGAATTCAGGCCAAAAAAATTAAATCAGCCAAAGAATTCAGTACCTTGGGTTAAAGAATTTAGTACTCTTGGTTAAGTATGTGGGCCCCACCCGATTAAAAAATTAATATTTATATAAAAAAATTGTATTAAATTTGACTAAGAAACTAGCCGTTGGTTTCTCTATTTAAAGAGGCATGAACCTGGCAGAAAATTCATCAAAATCAGCAAGAAAATTCATCAATAATAATTCATCAAAATTCATTCATCAAAAACAGCAAGAAAATTCATCAAAATTCATCAAAAACAGCAGCTTAACCAGAAACAAAACAGGTTCATTGAGCATGTTATTTAGGCATAAATTCTGCAAGGTTTTGCCAGATTTTGTAGAAAAAAAATAAAAAAATAAAAAAACCAGAAACAGAAGGGTTGCTGCTTCCCCCTGCTGCTGGTACTTCAACTCTGCCACAAAATCAGTCATTGTTGCTTAACAAATTCATCCAAAACCATTTGTAAAAAAAAAAAAAAAAAACAAAATTCGAAAACCCAAATTTAACACAAAAACCACAACCAATCGACATCATCAATTTGTTAAAAAAAAAACCCAAAATTCGAAAACCCTAGGTCGCAACAAACATCAACAAATGGGCAAAAAATCCAAAATATATATCAAATTAACAACATAAACGATGAGAAATTGAGCTTACCTCAAAAAAATGGCGGCTTTTGGTGTCGTTTTCCCCATATTCGAGCACAAAGGTTGCTCGTTGTTCTTCGACGTTCGCAGCAAAGTTTTCAGAAATGGGAAAGAATAAAGGAGCAAAAAGGGGAATAAAGAAAAAGAAAAGGAAAAAAAAATGGGTTGACCCGCGAATTTTTTAATCGGGTGGGGTCCACATACTTAATCATGGGTACTGAATTCTTTAACCTAAGGTACTGAATTCTTTGGCTGATTTAATTTTTTTGGCCTGAATTCTTAACTCAGTACCCAAAAACAAAGTAAAAATAATTGAGTACCTAAAAGATGAAATTTTTAACAATTGAGTACCTAATTGTGTGCTTAACTCCTTTTTTTACTCTGTTTAATACAGTATATTTTCTAACCAAAAAAAAAAAAAAAAAAGTAGTACGGTTGTCAAAATCTGTACCATGAAGAGCAGTATACCCCACGTCACAATCCAACGCCTTATCCTTTATCCACGCTTTCCTCTTCCTTATCATCTAACAAACGGCTCACATTCATCCACGTGGTCGCTTTTGATGCATTATTACTCCACCAATCCAACGGATCCCCTGCACTTCCTTTCTCCCTCTTTTTTCTTTTTTTCTCTCTCCTCCTTCTCCCCCACTCTTTCTCTCTCCTCCCAACCCACTCAGCGTTTTCCGATGGCGGATTCCGACAACGAATCCGGCGGCGTAGGTAACCGCGAACTCTCCGCTCGTGAACAAGACCGTTTTCTTCCCATCGCTAACGTCAGCAGAATCATGAAGAAAGCGTTGCCGGCAAACGCTAAAATCTCCAAAGACGCTAAAGAAACCGTTCAAGAGTGTGTATCGGAGTTCATCAGCTTCATCACCGGCGAAGCTTCCGATAAGTGCCAGAGAGAGAAGAGGAAGACGATTAATGGCGACGATCTTTTGTGGGCGATGACTACGCTTGGATTTGAGGAGTATGTTGAGCCATTGAAGGTTTATCTTCATAAGTATAGGGAGTTGGAGGGGGAGAAAACCACGGTTCCCGGCGGAAGACCCGGTGAGAAAGACGGATCTTCCGGTGGTAATTCGGGTTCCGGCGGTGGTGGTGGCGGTGGTTCCGGCGGGTATGGTGGTGGTTCCGGTGGGAATAGTGGTGGTGGAGGTGGTGGTGGTGGGATGTACGGTGGGATGATGATGATGGGGCATCATCATCAAGGTCAGATGTACGGGTCGGGTTCGTATCATCACCATCAAATGGTGGGAATGTCGGGTTCTATGGGTGGTTCGGGTAGCAGCGGTGGAGCGACATCCACCGCTGTCAAAATAAGATAGGTAGTGGTGGTGGTGGTTGTTATGGGTGGCAAAAATTATACAAATAGTGGAGTAATTAAGTTAAGGGGGGGTTAAAAAGTGGCGGGTTTTTTCTTTTAATTTTTTTTTTTTCTTTTTTCTTTATTTTTTAGATGCCTTTTGATGTGTTAGGTAAAGTGGGAGGGAGTAATTTTATATTGTGTAATTCTTAGTTAATAATTAATCCTAATTATTAGATAAATAATTATTAATATTATGATTATTATTGGCTAAAGTATGCAACTTTAGGGAAAAAGGTTTGTGAATGGAGGATAGAGAGACCTAACATGGGAATGAAGATAGAGATATCGGAGGAATGTGTATTTTTATGAGGATTCCTCATGCTATATTACTAGGTAATATTGTTATTAGTGGAAGCGATTGTTGTATTTATTAATCCGTTGAAATCTTACACAAATCTTGTGTACACCTGTTATAAATGTGCACTAGATTCACTTTGTACACTTTTGTAAAACTTAACATTTCTATGATTAAGTTGTACTTCATATTTTGTTATAGATTACTAAAACATGTGTTCAGCTTAATTAGTCAACTAAATGTACTTTCCGTGTATTTTGCATATGCTATACAACAAAAATTCAAAATTGAAAGGTACTTTGAACCTTAAAAGGAGGATAATTATATACGAATATTGGTGGTATTAGCCATTAGGTCCATATTTAAAAAAAGTTAGATAATTAAATTTGAAAGTATTATTATTTTTTTTTTGAAATTTAAACGAATAATTTTAAATTAGTTTTTGGTAAGGATATCTAAATTACAAGTATTTATTCTGATGTCAACCATCTTTGATAAAAAATGAGTACTAAGTTGTAATTTTTTTCAATTTTGATGTTGAATGAATGTGACATTGATGTGGACAATATATTAATTATTGGATAGTTGATAAAGTTTAGATTGTTTAATTGGTTTATGTCTTAAGCTAAATAAACAATTGGTAGTTTTAGCCATAATTTTCAGTTTTTGCTCAACTCACTTAATATTGACTGAATTGAAGTTACTATTAATTGAATTTAACTTAACTTTAGTTTGTAACGTGATTCTAGTTTGTATTTGTGTGAAGCATAAGTTAAATTAATGGAGATAGGACAACAATAACAAGGTCAACAACAACAGTTGTAGATGAAATGAAAGAAAGGTATACTTTTGTTTCTGAAAAAGTCTCCTCCTAAACGTGTTAGGATATTACAAGGTATATCAAGATGTCCTAAAGCTAATGTCCGACTGTCCAAATGTCCTTTAACTCTGCCTTGCTGGGGTAATTCTGAGGGCTTCGCTTGTACATCTGAGCGCTTGGCCTGCTAAACAACGAAGATTAGCTGCCCCGGGGGTGTGACCTGGGAAAGCCCTTCCAAGGCTTAAGTCAACAAGAGTACTTAGTTGAGAGAGAGTACTTAAGAGAGAGGAGAGAGAACTAGAAAGAAGTTACCATTATTAATGATTGGAGAGCTATTTATAGTTGTATTTTCAAGTGGCAAAGCTGTACTTAGTTTGACATATTAGGAATAAATCTGTACCTTCCAATGAGTAATAATAGGTTGGATTGTGGAGGGGTATTCAGGTCACCAAGCTTAGGACAATGGACTTGGCCCAAACAACTTTTATAAAAACTTGAAAATTATGTATCTCAAGTTTAGAGGGTTGTATGAGATAAAATAGTTACTCCATGTAATAGCTAAAATTTTTATGATGCATGAATGATTGCCTAATGCTATATGCATTGTAGGCCTGTTCACGGATCGGATATCCGAAGACTCGAATATTAAAAATTGATATCCAAATCCGATATGAAAAATTCGTATATCCGATATTCGGATATTCAAAATTTTCGGATCGGATATGATGCTTCGGATATCCATTATCCAATATTAAGTAAAATTGTTATGATTACTTTCTAAATTTCACTAATTTTACCTTTTTTATATATCGCTAAGTTGTACAAAATATTTTAACAAAAATAGTAGTCCTTTTGCAATTAATATTATCATCAAATACATTAAAAATATTATAATAAGTTAATAATACAGGGTTAGTTTTATATGAACAATTTAAAATTTATATATATATTTCACTATTTTAGGCTTTATATTTCGGATATCGGATATCCGAAATTATGAAAATTAATATCCAAATCCGCATCCGATATTCGCTTTTTCGGATCGGATATCCGATCCGAAATGAAAACTCAGATCGGATATCCAAAAATTCGGATCGGTTACGGATCCGATTATCGGATTCTCGGATAGTTTTATACAGGGCTAGCATATGCTAAAAGAGAGTGTACAATATAAAATACCCCTATGGAAATATAGTCGGCTTGGTTCAATTTGGGTCATTTTCTGAAGTAAAATTCTAACAGAAAATGATACCAATAAGATGATATTTTTGATAAAAGCCTGGCCTGCAAGTATGCACAATAATTTACAAACCCAACTCTATCCGTATATCCTCACAAATCATAGAAAATAACGGTTTCTGTTACTTCAACAGAAAAAAGAGGCTTCCAAAAGTATTTTTGTTTTCAAGAAAATAAACTACATTATGGCCCAACTTTAGAACTGACGTTAGAAGGAAAATTAGAAAGTTATTATAATCCTGCAGATAATTTGGCTACAATATTACTATATTAGTACTCTAATCAATAATAAAAAAATGAAAAAAGGACTTAAGACATTCCTCAAAGAGTAATATTCCAGTGATTATAATACATTCTGAAAATTTTGATTTCAATCTAGCAAGAAATATGGATGAGACGGAGTTAGAGTCTAGCAACCCATCAATTATGTTACTTGGACTCGTTGTTTCATTTCAAATACCTGTGACAGACCCTCATCTTTACTTGGACATGTACCAGTACCATGGTACTAGTGTGCACCACGGGTACTACGCTACTGTACTATGTCCATCTAGTGTGCACCACGGGTACTACTGTACTAGGTCCATTTAACATACATAGTAGTTCATATTGTATATCATATATCTGAATGTAGAATTTGAATGTGAAATTGTGCATTGATCACCTTCCTAACTAGTTTAATTCGTTATTCAATATATACATTAGACAAGAAGATTGTTCATTAGAAACTCTGAGTTTTTAAGCTAGCATTGTAACACTTTTTAAACAACTCTTTAATCTTTCTTATTAGAAGTTGATGGAGCAAGGCATCTACCTTTTTTAATTTTAAAAAAATACCATATACCCATAGTGATGAAATATCATCTCTGCAATACTCTGCAGAAGAAGAATGTGCATTCGATCAGCAGGACCAATATGTAACAGTCTGTGAAATTGGATGGATAATTTGTTATCGCCGCTGATCTAGTGATCATAAAAAGCGCGCAGCTGATGACAGCACACAGCAAGTGAGCAAGAGGTGGCCATAATCAAGTATCCAGTGACAAAGAGAAAGCATGTGTTAGTTTCTCAATTTTGACAATTGCCCCATAACATTGTTGGCTGTTTCTGTAACAACTTCAGATACAATGAGTATAAATAGCATGATTTGCAATGAAAGAAACACATGCAAAACAAGATTTAAACCCATTCAATAGTTTCTATTACTAACCAAGATTTGGAGATTTGTAAGAGTTTCTAACTTTTCTTCTTTGAGAATTATGAGTATGTTATGTTTCATTGCTATTTAATGCTGATCAGATCATGAGCTTTAAATAGTTTAGAATCTTACAGGTTTAAAATCGTACTGTTTTCTTCTTTTGTATTCATTTCAACTCGAGAGTTGGGATTTCCTTACCTATTTAGATGAATTCAAATTACAATAATACTTCATTACTTAACCTTTTAACTAGATATGCATGCTCTTCACTCCCTTTTTAGACAAATAATTCACTATGTTGCTTCAGGTCTCAGCTAAAGACACCGATATGGCAAACATGCTGTTGAACTATGTGCCCGTCTATGCAATGTTACCAGTAAGCCTGCATTAATCAGCATTCAGCACAATCATTTCCTTAATTAAGTCAAACAACAAATTAAAGCAGCAGTTCAATGACTAATTTATTTACTTGTTTTGTGGTTGGGAGTAGTCACGCCAGATAACAACTTCCAGAACCAGGACGACATCAAGAGACAACTATACAAGCTGAAGGAAGCAGAAGTCGATGGAGTCATGGTCGATGTCTGGTGGGGAATAATAGAAGCAAAAGGACCTAAGCAGTATGACTGGAAGGTTTACAGGAGCTTATTTCAGGCCATCAAAGATTGCGGGCTGAAAGTACAAGCAATAATGTCATTCCATCAATGTGGTGGTAATGTAGGTGACGGTGTTTACATCCCACTTCCTCAATGGGTACTTCAAGATGGAGATTCAAACCTTGATATCTTCTATACCAACAGACGCGGTACCAGGAACAAAGAGTACCTTACTCTTGGGATTGACAATGAACCTATCCTTGGAGGGCGGACTCCCATTCAGGTAAGTGTTTTCAAAATATCAAAAACTAAGAAAACATTTGCACATTCCTAAAATTGAAACAAGAAAGGGAATTAATTTCTTGTTATATAATATATTGACAGACATACAGTGATTACATGAAGAGTTTCAGAGAAAATATGTCAGATTTCCTAGATGCTGGCACAATAGTTGACATTGAAGTAGGTCTTGGCCCAGCTGGAGAGCTACCATATCCTTCATATCCACAAAATCAAGGATGGAACTACCCAGGAATTGGAGAATTTCAGGTGATCTTATTACATTCAGCTTTGTCTGATGACCAGATATAAGTCATATCACAGATGAAGTCGATGTATATGCTTTAACACTTCAGTAGTTAACCCAATTTCAAATTGCTAATCCCATGCAGTGCTATGACAAATATCTGAGAGAAGATTTCAAAAAAGCTGCAACTGATGCTGGCCATCCCGAGTGGGATGTGCCACAGAATGCAGGACAGTACAATGACAGGCCAGAATCAACAGATTTTTTCAGAAACAATGGGACATACGTCACAGAAAGTGGAAAATTCTTCCTGACTTGGTACTCGAACAAGTTATTGATTCATGGTGACCAGATCCTAGAAGAAGCAACTAAAGCATTCTGCGGCTGCAAAGTCAAGATAGCAGCTAAAGTGAGCCATAGGAACAACTATAGATAAGAATTTATTTTTGCAAATGACTACTGATTTATTTTTACTTATGATCTATGAACAGGTTTCTGGAATACATTGGTGGTTCAACGAGGAAAGTCATGCAGCTGAGCTGACTGCAGGGTACTACAACTTGTATGAAAGAGATGGGTATCGACCAATAGCAAGGATGCTTTCTAGGCACTATGGTGTTTTAGATTTTACATGTCTTGAGATGAAGGACTCTGAGCAGCCTGGTTATGCTGATAGCGCACCACAAGAGCTTGTAAAACAGGTGGGGACTTGAGCTTAATGTCAAATACTCAGAGCATTCGAAACTGTCTGGTCATAAGAAACTTGCAAGAAATTACTGACTAATGAGATCTTCAATTGAAACATATACAAGTTTAAACCTTCAAATAAAACCATTTTGTTTCTTTGAACACATATACATAGCACAAGTGCACAACAATATTATTTTCTTTCATATAATTTTGTAATGAACCACAATGTGAAAGTTCTTACCTCACATAGTACACTTTTGTTAACTCAATCGAATTATATTGCAGGTCTTAAGTGGATGCTGGAGAGAAAATGTAGAGGTAGCAGGTGAAAATGCGCTACCAAGATATGATCCTAATGCTTATGATCAGATGCTGCTGAATGCTAGGCCAAATGGGGTGAATAGAGACGGTCCACCAAAGCTGAAGATGTATGGTTTGACATATCTTCGTTTGAACAACCAGCTACTCGATGGGGGGAATTTCAATTTATTCAAGACATTTGTGAGGAAAATGCATGCTGATCAAGTAAGTAACCAATTCAACATAAAATAAACTTCCATACCAAAAAAAAAAAGCCTGTGACTGTTGGTGTCATATTAACAATGTCTGAATCATTTTCAGGAGTACTGTCCAAACCCCGAAAACTATGGAAGGCGTGTCGTTCCACTGGAGCAGTCAAAGCCGAAGATACCACTGGAGGAACTTCTAGAAGCAACCAAACCACTAGGACCATTACCCTTCAACAGTGAAACAGATATGAAAGTATAATTTGAGAAGTCTATCTCAGTAATAAAGTGAAGCCTGAGGCAGTTACATTGCCGAACACATCAACTGATGTTTTCCCAATATTAAGCTAATAAGGAAACCCCCAGAACCCACTATAGATGGGATCCTCACTGGGTGTTCTTGCTCTATTGTTTTTCGTTGTTTCTGTTGTTTTTCGTTGTTGTTGTGGTTGTCGTCGTTTTCATTGTTGTTGTACTCCTGCTAAGGAAACTTCTGCTAATGTAATAAAAATCTAATGTAATGCAAAGGATAAGGCATACAAACAAGTTTCTGTTCAACTGATATTGAGTTTGTGGTATACATGACTGTAACGGATCACACATTTTACACTTAACCAAACAAAAAAACAGATCTTTAAGTTCCTAGATTTCTTAGTGTTGGTAGTAAACTGCCTTTACTATACATTCATGATGTAGTCATCTTTACTTACTGTATGTACAACTTATGTAATTAATATTGTGAACACAAATATAACATACTTAGTGACATAATTGACATGATCATGCAACCATAGTCAACTTAGAACTGCTGAATGAGTGAAAGCAATGGATCATCTATATATATATACTTGTAGAATATATACATGGTAGTGGGATACTATGAATTCACTTACGGTGTGTTTGGATTGAAGGAAATGGAGGGAAAGGAAGGGAAGAGAAATGGAGAGATGGAGTATCTTTTATTTGGATAACAAATGAGGAAGGGAGGGAATTGGAGGGGAGAGATATAGAATGATTAAATTGTAGGAAATTGATCCCTTCAACAATGGAGAGATTTGGAAGGAAAACTCACAGGATCGTAAGATCCTACAAACTTTAAGATCCTACCTAAGATCTGGATCGATCATGCAATTTTGGATCGTAGAATCGTAGGATCGTAAGATCCGGATCGAGAATTTAACAACTCCAAACCGGATATGTCGAGTGTATAAATACCCAATTAGGGTTTTATATTTTTACAACTTCCACAAATTGTAAACACTTGATGGAGAGTTTGTGAGGAGCTTTTGAATTCCATACAATTCAAGTTTGTAATTCATCATCATTAATTGCTTGTTTAGTTCACCTTATTTCCTTATTTTGACTTATTTGATCATCATATTCCATAGTGGATTGATGGGTTTTCTCTCAACACTTGGTTCCCACGATAAATTCATTCTCATTTTGTTGTATTACTTGTGTTCTTCATTGTTGTTAATTGTCTTTTATCACAATTAGCTAGCACAATCTTTATCCTTTCAACAAGCTTCATCATTTCTCCTTTTCTCACCACCATATACATATATAAGTGATTAGGAATACTTAGGGCCTGTTCTCATACGTTGAAATTCAGTCCAGTTCAGTTCAGCTCCTAATTTCCTTCTCTTATAAAAAATTCATTTCATTTCAGTTCAGCTGAGTTGAGTCAATGAGAACGGGCCCTTAGAAGCTTACTCTATTTAGGACTCCTTTTCGATTATATATCTTGGATATACCATTATTTTCACGTGTATTTTGCAAAAATTGGAATTTGTCAGATGATCAACTACACCAAAAGCTTAACTTGATGGTTGACACCCAAAATTGGTTTATACACTCCATTAGAATCAATTATATTCCAATATGTTTGCTTTTTACGAGTGATAAAATTGGTGTTGCCGATTTTACTCATGTACAACTTTACAACTTAATCAAGAAGATAAACCTAAGCAAGTTTTTATAAAAAAATATATATAAATTAAAAAAAATAAAAACTAATTGCTTAATCACAATGTTATACGTTAAACATCAAACGAATGCACAATGATCCAATAAATTATGTTAATTAGTTCTTGTCAAAAAAAAATAAATTATGTTCATTAGAATTTATATTCAATATTCATGTTATTGAAATGAGACTTCATATTCAATATATGCATATGCCTTGAGAGTGAGGCCAGTAGGGCTGTACAGAGTGCGGTTAAGACCGCACCAAATCGCAATTTTGCGGTTTGGTGCGGTTTGCGGTTTGAAATTTGTAGTGCGGTTTTTAAATATGACCAAACTGCGGTTGCGGTTTCAAAATATATTGAGACGAAACCGCACCGCAAACCGCACTTTAATGCGGTTTATGATTTTTATATTATATTTTCATTAATATTATATAAAAGAACTAAATTATATGAGCTAATCTTTAACTATTAGTTAATTAAAGATTAATTAAAAGAGTTTAATATTTGAATTATAAACTAATAATTATAAAATAAAATAAAAGTTTTGTTTTTAAAAGAATAATTACAATTTTAATAAAATAAGGTTAAACCGCAAACCGCACCGCACCAAACCGCATTTTGCGGTGCGGATTTTTTAAAAGTGCGGTTTGAAAAAATTACAAACCGCACTTTTGCGGTTTATGATCCAAACCGCACCGCGAACACCCCTAAGCGAGGGATAGCTTTAGTGGTTAAAGCTTTCTCCCGGTTCCAGGAGATTATGAGATTGATTCTCACCCCGCCCATATGGCTCTCTAAACACCAAAACTATATACATACGCCTTAATATTAAATAATTTAAGTGTGTGTAAAATAAAAGATAAAATAATTTTAGTAGGGTTTAAAGTAAAATAGAAAAATGATAAAATATAGTATAAAGTTATCAAATAAGAAAGTAATGCATATAAAAAAAAACATCCATAAAAGAAAAGTGATATATTTATAAAAAACAGAAAGAGTATTATTTTTGACAAATTTTCCTTTTTTAAGTCTTTCGGTAAGATAACATTATTTTTAAATCTTTTGGTAAAGGACTATTTCTTTTCTTTTCCTCCCAATTCCTTCGGTCTCTCTCCTCGTTCTTCTTCTCCCATCTTTTTAACTCTCATCTCAATTGAAGTTTGCACTTTGAATACTTCATTGAAGCGGCTTCTTAGCTTTCTCTCGTTTCATTGAAGCAGCTTCTTAGGGTTTATCGAATTTCAGCTTGTAAGGTATGCTATTATCATTGCGTTCTTCTGCAATTTACGTGCAATTTCATCACTGTAGTGGTTAATTAAGCGACAGTTTTTTATTATTATTATTATTATTATTTTATTTTATTTTTTTATTGCAGCTTGAGTTTTGATCATTTACTCCCGATTTTTTTATTTGGGTTTTTAATTTAATGTGAACATTTTTTAAGTTCAAAATTAGGGATTTATCTCTCAAAGTTTTGATCTTTACTTAATTTCCCTTCTCACATGAATTTAATTTGGATTTTTTATATTGCGATTTGTATGTGGTTGATGAAACTTTCAAACCAGTGAATAACCCGCTCGCCAAATCGTCAATTACCTGGTATTTTTTGTTACGTAATTCTGCTTACAATTTGTTTTTGATTTGAATTTTGAATTCTAATTGAATGTCTTAATCAATTAAGAAAATTAGGCTTTGATTAATCTTTTTTAGATATGAAATATCTAATAATACTATATTCCGAGTCATGAAATTTTTTGCATTTTCAATTCTATGAATTTTTTTTAGTTTGTGTGCTTTAATTCATTGCAGTTCCAATTTGCGAATTTAATTTTTATTGAATGTCAATTGATTTTTATTATACGAGTACTTTTTAAATGCTGGATTTATTAGATATTTTTGAAATTGTGAAATTTAATTATGAATTATGAAAATTTCACCAGCCGTTGTTGTGGAAATCAAAGAACAATGGAACCTAAAAATTCTTTTGACTAATAACTTATTACGACTACTGATTTGCATTAAAGAATTGAATTTAATAAGCTTTATGTGACTTGAACCCTTTTTGTGATTGCAGACCAGCCAAATAAGGCATTGTTATCATCTACAATTTCATTTCGTTAATTATGGCTTCCTTAGATGATGCTGATGACAAGGCTAAGTCGCCTTCCTCGTAAAATTTCTTACCTTATTTTTGCTCCCAGAATATCCTACTCAAATCCCTTTTGGCTCTTTTATACTGCCATTGCTAGTCCTGACCATGTTTTGCATTATGGATGTGTATTTTCAGGCCAAAAGATGTCTATAAGGATCCAGATGATGGGCGCCAACGCTTTTTGCTTGAATTGGAATTTGTTCAGTGTCTTGCAAATCCAACTTACATCCATTGTATGTCACATCACTTATGTTAGTTATATCTAGTGAGATGAAACCTGGAGTTGTGCTGTGAATTGTTTAATTAGTTGAAAAGTATTTACATGTGCAGATTTGGCTCAGAATCGTTACTTTGAAGATGAAGCTTTCATTGGTTATCTGAAATACCTTCAGTATTGGCAGCGGCCTGAGTATTTAAAATTTATTATGTAAGCATTATTTAACCATTTAAATGGTTGATTACCTGAAAGTCTGAAACATGTATATTTTGCCAATTTGATGATTTTGTAATGGGAAACTTTGTTGGCTATTCTTTTTTTTTCTTACTTGCTTGTCTAACATGACCTTGTCAAATTCAGGTATCCGCACTGCTTGTACTTCCTCGAACTTTTACAAAATGCTAACTTCCGCAATGCTATGGCTCATCCGGGGAGCAAAGTACGTTTTGTTATCTTTCTTGTTTGTCTTGATGATGCATTTAAATGCTGGTAATAAATATAAAGGAATCAATATTTGTTGACCTGATATTGTTTAGTGTTTACCTACCATTTAAAGCAAAGACTTTTGTCCTACGCTCCTATTTATGTTGCCTGTTCCATCGATTATTCTTTTTTTATAGGTTAGAGGAGTACAATGTTACACATTGATTTGGGGAAAATAGCATGGTTTGAGTCAATTTGTCAATGGCCCCCATCTACCATAGCTGATATGTGGGTTATACTTCTAATGTTCTACTCCGTAGTCACAAATTCACTATAGAGAATTTAATAGAGCTCATATTTGCTCACCTAAAAAGGGCAACTTACAAGAAAGTAAGTATAGTTAAGGATCAATAATTCTATATAAGGGTCATTAGCTCTAGATAAGGGATGCCAAGTTTATTACTGATCATAAGGTGCTTAAGTTCTGTTAAGTTCAGATTAGATGATTAGATCAAATCAGTTTTAATAAACTTGAGATAAGGTAAATTTAGGTGAAAAGAACAAAGTGCTGATAATCTTCAAAGTAAGACTCTAACTGTATCATAAATGGTGTTATTACTCGGTTGAAAAAAGAAGAAATCTGACCAATGTACTTGGAAGATTGTACAAACTGCAAAGAACATGTGTTATATGACTACATCTTCATTTTCATATAGCCTTTGGTTCCAGAGTTTAGACATCATTTTCAAAGAATTTTTTGTCACAATTTGATTGCTATTGCGAATGATGATGCTGGAATGCTCTTTTGCCCAGCTTTTCCCTCCCTCATGTTTTGAGATGAAAGTTGAGATGTTAAAGCCTGACAGGCTTAGGATGTGAGTTACTGATTGTGATCTATCTATATGGCATTTTGACTTATTGTCTGTAAATAGGCTTATCACAGTAATGTGAATGGAATTCCAAGTTTGCGACTTTTTCTTTGTTACACTCTTTCCATCTACAAATGAGTGTCTCCTTTGAGTTTTTCACTTGTGCATCTTTTTTTTCATTGTTAAACTAGCTGTAGGCCGTGTATTGCCTGTCCAGCAAATCAACTTTATTTTACGCTAATAATGAGTGTAGCTTAAAACTCTGAAGGAAAGAGAGACAGAGATTAACCCTACAACATATGAAAGGAATAATTATAAAGAGAGAAAAAGAAAGCCCTATCAGCCAGCCTGCCAGAGTATTTAGATTCTACTCATTTTAGTATTCTAAAATCCTTAAAAATAAAGAAAAAATTGAAATTGAAAATCCCACCTTTCACTGACTTGCTCAAAACCATCCCACTTTTGAATAATATGGAAATAATCCTACCTTTAACATTAAATTTCTTAAAACATGCCTTTTGACCTACAACTTGTTTAATAGGTTAATTTTGTATTTTTTATTCTTTCTCATCCCTCACAAAGTCACAACCCTCTCACCACCATGACCAATCGACAACCAATGCTATCAGCTCTTCCCTCGCCCGCTTATGATGAGCCGCATCAGTCACAAGTCTCACAACCCGCTAAGGAATAAAGTCGGACAACCTCGACTTAGTCAAAGGAGAAGACCTTATTAAGTCAACCCACACATCACGACCTCGTTCCCAAGAATAAAGTAACACATTTGCAAGTCTAAGGGCCACATTGTTCCCCCCAAAAGTCCAATGTCAACCTCTTTTTTTGCTTATATCTTAGAGCGATAGCAAACATCAACAATGGTATCTTGGGAAACACTATGGCGATATTTAATACCCATAATATCGCCACAAATATCCCCAGCAAAAACACTAGAGCAAGTAGAGCATGGCATCGAAATAGAAAACAAAGGAACACCGAATCGGTAACACAACACACAACGATAAGTCTTAGGTGTGTTCTCCTTGTTGCGACTTCCACAAAGCTGACAAGGAGATTAAGAAAATGTGGATTATGCAGATGTAGTAACTTTTGAGAAATATAAATCTATCAATTTCTTCATAAGTTTTGGGGCAGCGACCTCACCGGGATTACTTTACTTTAAATGTCAGACTATTCTATTAAATATACTCATCGCATAGTCAAAGACACGACTAGAACCAACGATACCAGCATGTCGTAGATGCTAGTCTGTAAGCTAATAAAGTACAAACGAGAAGCAAAAAAGTATAATGCCGAACATCACTTGCGGAATAAACATCAAGCACTCCATACACAAAAGGTAAGGTGACAAGTTGCACTAGCCAAAGCCAGTTGCAATACACTCAAAGGGAGACCGAAGAGCCCCATCAAATGTGCGGTGGGCCGCCTCAAAAACACAAGAAGGACAAGTACGCAAAGCAAAGTAGAGTTTTGAAAAGTAACAACAAGAGACACTTAGGATCACCAAGCTTAGCAATCTTATTAATAAGCACAATGTTCTTGGTCACTCTTTGCCTTACAAGTTCACCATTGAAAATAGAGTCGAAACAGGCCACAAAGCAATTCAACACCACATAGAGGTCGAGCAATGTCAGGTGAAGAGACACCCACAAGCCACAAAACTTCAGTTTTTTCCTCGTTAAAGTAGTCTGAAATGAGTCCTATCCTCCATAATCAAATCCATCAAAAAAAGCAAATACTAAAACAAAAATAACAGCATAAATAAAAAAATAACAACTAATAATAGCAATGATAAACAAATAATAAGGTTCTGGAGTTGATTATGGAGGATGAGCCTTGTTTTGGACTACACCTCAATGTGAAGAAACTAAGTTTACCCGACCTTTATGTGGTGTTAAATTGTTTGGTAGTCCCACCAGTTTCGATTCCATCTTTAGTGGTGAGCTTGTGATGTAGAGAGTGACCAAGACCATTGTGCTTATAAATAAGGTTGCTAAGCTCGGGGATCCTAAGTGTGAGTTTTTGTTACTTATGGTGTGTGGATATTTCAAAATTCCACTTTGCTTTGCTTACCTGTCCTTCTTGTGTTTTTGAGGCGCCTCGGCGTTCATTTGATGGGGCTCTTTGGTTTCCATTGGAGCGTATTGATACTGCTTTGGGGCCAGGATTTGGCGATTGACAGTGTAACTTGCCACCTTACCTTTTGCGTTTGGAGTGCTTGGTGTTTATTTCGCGAGTGATGTTCGTCATTATGCCTTTTCATTTCTAGTTTGCTAGCTTGCATACTAAGCATCTACGATATGCTGGGATTGTTGGTTCTGGTCGTGCCTTCAACTATGAGTTGAGTCTATTTAATAGAACCACATTTTAAGTAAACCTAGTGAGGTCGCTGCCCTAAAACCTATGAACAAATTGGATGATATATATTTCACAAAGCTTTGTTGAAGTCTTAACAAGGAGAACACACCTTGGCTTGGCTTCGGGCGGTCCATATGTCAGGGCTAGGATAGACGTGAATGCTAAGACTTATTGTTGTGCGTTGTGTTACTAATTGGTTTTCCTTTGTTCTGACGTCGTGCTCTGCTTGCTTTACGACATTTGCTAGGGATATTTGTGGTGATCATGCCGTGTTGTGTACTGGTATTATGGGTGTTAAACATCGCCATAATGTTTTCCGAGATACCATTGTTGATGTTTGCTATCGGTCGGATATATAAGCAAGAAAGGAGGTTGACATTGGACTTTCAGAGGGCCACAGTGGTTTGCATATGTGTTACTTTATTCTTGGGAACGGGGTCGTGATGTGTGTGTTGACTTGACAGGGTCTTCTACTTTGACTCAGTGTGGGTTGTCTAACTTTGTTCCTTATCGGGTTGTCTAACTTTGTTCCTTATCGGGTTGTGACTGATGAAACTCATTGTAAGTTGGTTAAGTATGAAGCTAGTTGACGGATGATGGGCTGTGGTTTTATTCCTTTCTCTTTTTCTTCTCTTGGGGAATTAGAGAAGGAGGTTATATTGTTGAAGCGGGTTTAGAAGTTATCGAAGACTCAAGACATTGGGACACATGGTGCTGCCCATGTCTTCACTAGGATATGCTTTATTGTAGCTAGAGGAGTGGGGCCGTCTCGGTTTCCCACCAATTTTTTTGCAAGTTAAATGACTTTGTCTATTTTTTATTATTAATAATAAGTATTTGATATGAGCTTATCTCTTCTGACCTTATTTTTTCTGATTGAACTTATTTGATTTGATGTGAACTTAAATTTTTTTTTTTTTTGATTTGGTCTTAATTTATTTGATCTGATTTGATTGAAATTTATTTTTTCTGATGAACTTTCTTTTAAAACTATCATATTATTGATAATAATAATATTAACCATTACAATAACTGTTAAGTACTTGTTTTTTCTGAAAGAAGTAAAAATAAGTTGAACTAAACAAAGGCCTTACTAAGGGCTCTAAGTCTACTGTTCGGTACAGTAAAGGCTTGTTTAGTTTACCTTATTTTTGCTTACTAGTTATAATGTGTGCGCGCGGTCCTATTAGCAATGTATTTGTGATGATTGTGAATTGGGTTATGTAGAAGTTATTCTCGCAATAGCAATTTGAAAAGTCATGTAGTCTTCTCAAAAGTAGAATTTAGATGTGTTTCAATTAAGCATCAAGTGATACCCTAAGTCTATTCTAATAAAATGAAATTGGGAAGAATTGTATGAACTTCATATTGAGAAATTGTATCTGATTACGTTTCGGAAAAAAAATTTGGGGCTGAGAGGGATTTTCTTGTAAAATATACTCCAAAATACTAAACTCAACTCAAAGCTAATGTAAACCTATGCTGCAATTTTCCATGTAACAAATATTATTGAATGCATGTTAAAAATTAATCTAAGGATGTTATCTGTATAACATTGAATTATATGTTTGCTGATTATGTATGTTATAATGTTATATCCACATGAGACACTAAATTATGGATGTATGAAGAGAGTTGGTTCTTATAATGTGTAGTTCTTTAAGTGAGGAATGGGTGAGTAATCGAAAACCGAGGACTTAAAAGTTAAGATTCTTATCAATGATTTGAAAATCAAAGCTCTTGGAGACTTGACTTTGAGCATTGTGCCACTTTCAACGGCTTGAATCTGTTCCCCAAATCATTATTAGTTTGACACTACTTTGACTCCCTTGACTTTGGAGAGTTGCATAAGAACTATGAAGGGGCTTGACAATTTCAGATGCCATGCTAAATTCCTGTAAATCATTATTACTTTCTTATTGCTTTGCCCATTTAGTTGTTGGCTGTGACAATATCTTTTACTATCTTCTAGGTTGGGCGGTAATATGGTAGGAATGATGATGGATTTGTGTAATTTTGCAAGCGAATCAAATACTAATGTCTATGATAATGGAACCTCGTCTTCATCTATAGGATTTTCTTCATTAATTTATATTCATTGTCATTCCAGAAGTATGACCGAGTGCTAGTGAAATTTTTTTAAGGATAGAGTTACCAACTTCCATCTTGTTCTGAACTTTAGTATGGGATTTTTAGTTTTTTTTATCAAAAGTGCAATAAAGCTCGTTGTCATTACCTTTATTTATTACTCCCTCCATTCCATTTTGTTTGTCCCATTTTCCTTTTTGCACAATTTTCAGTGCACAAATATTTAAGCATTAGTATCTTAATATGCATTGTAAAAGATTGTACAAAGTTGATAATTAAAATCTACACATCGATATTCTCATAAAAATGCCTTACATATTTTATCTTATATTTATCATAAACTCATAATTAAAGTTTCTATCTTTTCAAGCTGAAAATTCTAAATGGGACAAACAAAAAGGGTGTGGGAGTATCAACTGCTACACTAGCGTTCTTGATAAGGTCTTTTTCCCCTTTACTCTTTACCAAAGTTTTCAGTATGAATTGGACCAATAGCTGCACAACTTAGACACAATTCTTTCCAGATGTAATTGATGATTTTTTCAGCAGCTTAATGCAGTAATGTTTGTCACTGAATTTCATGGAAGAAATGTTTTTGTTTTAGGTTTCTTTTACTTAATCTGTAAATACTTTAAATTTTCAGGAAGTGGCACACAGACAACAGTTTTATTTCTGGAAAAATTACAGAAACAATAGGCTGAAGCACATTTTGCCAAGATCCCTTCCTGAACCTGCTCCTGCACTTCCAGCTTCAACTGCTGCGCCATCATCCATTCCTCCTGCTATTCCTCCCACATCTGCTCCCTCTCCAGCTCTATCTCCAATGCAATATGCAATCCCTCCTGGATCTGGTGTTGCAAAAAATGATACAAGAAACAGCGGTATTGATAGAAGAAAGAGAAAGTAAGTTTGCTAATTTCTGTAGGATCTTTAAAGTTGACGTCGTGCAATTCAAAGGTACACATATAATAAAGGTGCACAGATACTGATGCAAATGAAATGTACACAGGAAAGAAGGATAGCATCTTGATTACTGGATTTGTTATTGGTGGATTGAATCTCAACCATTCTAGGAAGCAGGAGTTTGTTTAGACTACTTGTCACCAATGGTAAACCACCACTTTATATCTCTTGTTTTAGCATATCAAATCTTTCCTTTCATCAATCAAACATCTCAAACAAACAATATCTTAAAGTAATAGTACTTAGAAAGTGGACTTAAAGTCCTCTCTAACAAAGCTTTCCAGGAAAAAAAAAGAGGAAAATTTTGTTCTTTCGAACTAGTAATGGTAGAACCTTATTGACAAATGTTGCTTATATGCATTGGTGTCTTAAAGCCTTCTAAAATCCCTGCATTGTAAGAATTAGTGTACCTACTAATCTTTTGAGAGAATTTCCTCTCAATGCCTTTTTGGCATTGTCATATGGAGTACGACAAGAGGGGATGAACTTGATTGTAGAAAACTCTTCTCATGTTTCTCTAGTTAATGTTGCTAATTGTTGTGTAAATATGACACATCTTTTTCCCTTGTTGGTATACTGTCTTGTCCTTCTTGGTTTTCAAAAACCACAAGATACCTTTGACTTTGGTTATTAGACCTCTAAACTTCATATGTAGCCACACGATACATGTGCTTCTGGACTAGCTTATGTGTTGCAAGTTCAGTTTGGTGTGAAAAAGCAGAGAAAGGGTTTTATTTATGGGAAAAGAAGAATCTGTTCATCATGTTTGGGGATGTATATGAGTTGGGTGTTTTCATTCTTGTAATTTTAATTTGAAAGTTTGATATGGTCATTGAGCAAAAAGTAGGTTATTGTGCTTTAAGAGATGCCTTCTAGTTTGTAGATCAGAAATTAATGTACCCCTCTAGATAATACATAGACTGTGGTGGGGTTTTATTTATTTATTTATTTATTTTTATTTTTTTATTTTATAGAAAAAAAGATTATCTGAATTCCCATTTTCCTGTCTGCTTTTGTAGATGGGCAGATAGTTTTCCCCAAAGTGGAAACTAAATAAACATTTTCTTTTTTTAGAATAGAATGCCTACATTTTCTGCTCTATTTCTTCCCTTTTACCCTCTCTTCTCTTTCATCCCCCGCCCTCCCCTCCGCTTCTGTTCTTCCTTTTCTCTCTAACTCTTCTAATAAAGAACCATTTTCAGTTTCACATGTTTTCTGCCCAACCAAACAAAGTATCTTGGCACTAACTTTGAAAGTTTGTTACAACCATGTAAAGTGATGTTTTTTCTGCCAAATGGCTCTTTTATAGGCGGTGTGTTAAGTAATTGTAGATACAAAAAGTCTACTTGAAATTTTGTAGAGATTTTCTGATGTTTTTCACCTCATGTGTTTTGAATTGTAATTTCATTATTTTTACAACCATCTCAATTTCTTTTTTTTTTTTTTCTGATTTTACTTTGTCTTGCACCTTTGTTTTCTTTCTTATACATGATACCTTGATACTACTATCTTCATAGGGGTAGCCCATGTACATGCTTCTACCGTAATTGCTGACTCTCATTGGTAAGAAAAACGTGTTTTTAACGAGGTTGGATGTCTTTTGAGTGTACAAGAGTTTTGGGAGGGTTTAAAATCTTCCATTCTATATACTTGTTTACGTTATATTGTGTTTAGGAATTGTAGGTGGCTAGGTGCAAAGGCCAACATGTGTTTCTGTGCGTGAAATTTAAGTTTAAAAGAGTACAGAGATAAAAGGCATTTAGATTGTTCAATATTTGGAAATCAAATTCTCAAGAGTTATAATAGATTTGAGAGCCTTTAGAGGTATCCATGAAGTCCTGAACTTCCGAAAATTCTTTTGTACACTCAAATGTTCCTTAGAAAAAAGGCACACCAATGTTAACTACGTAGGGCACATAACTTGACACAAGCCCTTAATATGTCACACAATGGCATGCACCTCGCTTACATTGGCAATTGACTTGCTTGCTATTGTGTGACACTGATTAACATTATAGCTTTTTACTGTATAAGTAGTTTGTCTTTGTATCCTCAACAATGTTCACTAAGGGCTTCTCTCCTATCCTACCCCCATATTATATACTTGATTATAAATTATTTATTGTTTGTTTGGTTAGATGAAGTATTAGGTTGTAGTAAGTTCAATGTGCATTAAAATTAGTTGCATAGTGAAATTCCCACATCCCTTAGGAAGTTTCACTCACCTAGGACGGATTAGGTAAGTGAACTCTAATATGTGGGAAGAGTTCTTCCTAGGAAGCTCTAATTCTTACTCCGTGTTATCTTGTCAACCAAACAAGTGCACATGAATCTACTTCCTAGGAACATCCACTTCTCATGCACTTATGTGTTAGTTAAACATGTGCTTTGTCTCGACCCAAGCCTATGTGGCCATACTGTATGACGTAAGAGGCATTTCACGTTGTTAAGTTAGTACTTTGTAGTTCTATAAATTGTAGGTATTATTTCAGGTTATAAGTTGCTGAAATTGAAAGAAGAAATCCTGTACTTGGAAGATTTTTCTGTCAAGTTTGAAATATTGGTTTGATTGGGAAAGTTGAAAGGATGGACATGAATTGAGTTTGTTAATTTCATATCAATAATTGTGATTGCGATGGGACTCAACAGATCATCACTTTGAATTTTTTTCAAGTCTACAGCAAATTCATGGTTTTAAATTTCACAGGCATACACCTCTATAATTTAACCCTTTTGTTCATACTACATTCGTTTCATATTATTTGCAACGATTTGACATAAAATAGAAAAGAAAAATGTCGAAATGTTGCAAATAATATAAAACGGAGGTAGTATCAATAATTGTGAGAGGGAGCCCTAGTTAATCTTCCGCGGAGAATCTATAGGCGATTTTGATGAACAACTAAGGATTTCTTAGCTCACAAATCTTTCCATACACACTTGTATATTGTTGCTCGTTCAATTAGCTTATTCTTCCAAGTAACCCTTTAAAACGTATTTTGTATATTGTTGTTTGTTAATCGTAGTCAAGTGGGTCATTATACACAGGCAACCAAGATTTAATAGAAAATTAGATACGTTTATTATAATAACCATGACATTAACCAGCTAACTACTAGCGCACCTAGCATTTTAAGTATGGTCATGCAAAATTCTGTATTATACGAGTTGCCGACAATAAATTTTACTAAGGAAGTACTAATGTGGAGTAAGAATATGATATAGTAATCAAATCAATAAACTTTATTTTCCCTTAAATCTTTGCAAACTTTTAAATAGTGGTAGAGATTCGAAGGAATGTCAAGAAGTGTAATAGTTATTCCCTCCATCTCTAAATTACATTTCTACTTCTAGCATTTATATCTCACATAATAGAGAGAAGTATGAATGTAATTTAGGGACGGAGGGAGTAGAAATTTTGTACAGAGAAGAATCATTAGAGGAGATAAATTGAAGCTATTAATTAGATATTCGTATGGTCGTAGTTTTGAACTATGAGAAATCTAGTAATACAATACTTCGTAGTATGGATATTAATTAAGTAAGATACAAACTGTTGTACCTTAAAATTTTCAAATTTTCAAGTAATCATTGATTTTATTCATCAAACTATAAAATCAAGTAAACAACAAGAAAAATTGAACGTGCAGGAAAACAATGAGTAATGCAAAGAAAATACTTAACATTTGCTTTGAATTATAAGTCATTTCCACCGTTTTGGAAAGATTTTGATGTTTATCAACTTTGGCCATACATGGTAGATTAGATATAAGGATAACCATTTTTGCATGGGACCTTCTTAATTTTATTTTAACCTTTATGTTCAAAAGTAGTTGTCCAGGAGCATAATGATCAATCTTGATTAATATAATAACATTTGGCAATAACTTGTCTCTAATCAATAATTGATGACAATTTTTACTTGTTATGGAGTATAATATGATCAAAATATCTTTCCATAAAAGGAATCAAGTTGATTCAAAGGAAATAAAATAGTTACTCCGTTCTAATTACTACGGTTTATTTAGCGGAGTAAAGATGGTGATGACTCGAGCAGTCGGGCATTATTTGGCACAATTAAACGCATGGCACGATTGAAACACAGGATAGTCATAATACATCGCGTTAGAATGTACGTTAGATCGTGAACCATATTTGTTCTAGGGAAGCATAACAAGACATGATAAAACATAGCCTAACATAACCGATCACAATAAAATCCAATTTAACCTAGATACATAACTAATATAAATACAATACAACACAATACGATACGATACGATGATTCGAGAAGTGTGATGGGCTCATGGCTAGATTGGCTACCCTTTGAAAATTTTCAGCACGCACAACAATTAACGAATGGAGGCAATATTTACGGAGTACAATCAGTACTTGACCAAGTATTACTCGCGGAAATCTTCTGCATACAAGTGAGCAATTGTCGGTCCAGAACCAAAGGGTCCCACCAAGAATTTTGTTACAAAAATTGAACCCACCAAAAAGCGACATGCTAATTATCAAACGAATAATACTAAAAATGATTGATTATCTCTACTTGCAGTGAAAATTTGGGCCCCATTTTATAGCAATCAATCATAATTAACACCCTGTACTTGTTATAACACCACCATTATTCCCATACTCCCTTACTATTTATACACTAGTTCTTCACTCTTCACATGCTCCACTCTTTCCCACCACCACAACTTGATCTCATCCTCCTAACTCAACTCATTCACAATGCAGCCATCCATGGCGGCGGTCGTATCCCTCCTCCTCCTCGTCCTCCTCGTTCCCGCCACCACGGCGTTTAACATCACCAAGATCCTTAAAGGACACCCTGAGTTCTCCACCTTCAACCAATACCTTACCGAAACCCACCTTGCCAATGAGATCAACCACCTCCAAACCATCACCGTTCTTGCCCTCGACAACTCTGCTATGTCTTCCCTCCTCTCCAAGGGCTTCCCTACTCGCGTTATTCGCAATGTCCTCTCACTTCATGTCCTTGTTGACTACTATGGTGCCAAGAAACTCCACCAGATCACTGATGGTATGTACCTAATTACTAATAGTAATATTATTTCTACATTTTTTCATAGTCAAAGATTCATACATAGTATAAAAATGCATGATTTGCATCACAATAACTTAATGCAAGTTGAGTATTTTACTACTATGCATATTTGATTTTACTACCTCCGTTACATATTATCTGCAACGATTAGACATTTTTCCTCTCTACTTTATGTCAAATCGTTGCAAATAATATGTAACGGAGGTAGTAATTTATTTTTTGGATGTAGACTAGATTAGTTACACAACTGTCCTTTGTGAATCTCTCTCCACCAAAAGAAAAAATTGTTTTTGGAAGTCTTAACATAATTTGCCTAGAAGCCACCACAATTTGAGTTAATCTGATCTTTAGACATTGATCTAAAATAATGTACAGGAACCACGACGACGGCTTCATTGTTCCAGTCATCAGGGGACGCAGATGGGGATGCAGGGTATGTAAACATAACAGATATGCACGGAGGAAAGGTCGGGTTCGGACCGGCTAACACGGGTGACTTGAACTCATTCTTTGTCAAGGCAGTACTAGAAAAACCTTACAATTTATCAATCATTCACATTAGTCAAGTGCTTGATTCAGCTGAAGCTGAGGCTCCTACACCTGAGCCTAGTAAGGTTAACTTGACTTCCTTGTTGTCTTCCAAGGGTTGCAAAGAATTTTCCCACTTGCTCACCTCTACTGGCGCTCAAAAGACCTTCCAGGTAATAACTTAACGCACTTTAATTATTATTTTGCGTCACATGAACTTTTCTGAACTTATTGTATATATTAATTGAATTTTATGGTATGTTATTTGTATTTATTATTTTAAAATATGTCAAAATAAGGCGCGGAAAACAAAATTGTTGTAAATGTAACACTAGTAGATATTAAAAGGGTACAAAAGTTAACGTTGCTTCTCTTTTGTGTGCTTCTTATAGGAAAACATTGAGAGCGGCTTAACAGTATTTTGTGCTAGTGACAGCGCCGTGAAGGCGTTCATGCCAAAATTCAAGAACTTAACAGCCGGAAACAAGACTGCGGTACTCTTGTACCACGGTGTTCCGGTCTACAGCTCAATGAGCATGCTCAAGTCAAGCAACGGCCTTATGAACACATTAGCGACGGAAGGACCTAACAAGTATGATTTCACCATTCAAAACGACGACGAGTCCGTAACAATAAAAACTAAAGTAGTAACGGCTAAGATAACGGGGACGTTAGTTGACGAGGATCCTTTAGCTGTTTATAAATTAGATAAAGTACTCTTGCCACGTGAGCTATTTAAGCCATCGGCTACACCCGAGCCGGCTTCTTCACCCGAAGCTGAAGCGCCGGGCCCGGATGCAGCCGATGGCCCTGCGTCGGATGAGGATGATGATGTGGCGGATTCGACGTCTCATAAGAAGAAGAATAATGCAGCTGGATTGATCAACGGTGGAGGAATTTTGGCTTTGGGGCTCACTTTGTGTTATTGTGTGCTGGCTGCTTTGTAAAAATAATTCCAAAAATACCAAAAAAAAAAATACAAAATTGCAAAAAAAAAAATTTAAAAAAAAAATTAAAGGGAAAAAAATTGAGGGTGTGATATATGACGTGGACATTGTGAAGCTGGAAGTGAGCTGGAAGATTATTTGGCAAGGTTTGAGCACCGACGATTAGCACATGAGATGATGAGAAAGTTTAAGAATTTTTTAATTATTGAGTGCAATGTTTAATAATTGGTCCACTTGAAGGTTTTTCTTCTTTATTTTTGGTGTATAATGATATGATTCTTTTTGTTTTTTGTTTTTGATTTTTGATTTTTGGAAGATTGTACAACACGTCCTTTTTTGAATTAATAATTAAAAGTATTAAATTGTACAATTTGGTGTGGAATTAGTTGATTGCAATTTAGATCTTACATTCAATAGTACTATAAATTTATGCATTATATCTTTGAGGAGATGAGATTTGTGGCCAAAAGTCTTATGAGCAATGACAAAAAGTCAATAAGTTATTTACTCTTTAGTAATGACAATAGTTATGTTTAATATTGTGGACAATGTGATGTTTATTTGTCAAATCGACAAGGATCTATTATATCCAACATTTTGACAATCTCCTCGATACCAAACACATCCATATAATTGGTTGAAAGTACTTTAGAAATATAGGGCAACAAACGAAAAGAAAAGAAAAAATTGAAAGAAATTAAAGAGAGTGAGAGTAGTAAATTTAAATGTATATAACATAGTTGATGATTTATGTTATAATAGATGCGATGGGTATTAGAATGAAGCATATGATTCATGAACTTAGCGATAGTATTATAAAATTGAAGGTTGGAAAGTGAAGATAAGTCACTGATATAGAGAGGCAAACTGGCCTGCCGACTTGTTAGCTAATTTTGGCGTAACCTCGAGGCAAAAGATGGTCATTTTTTAGGCAAATCCGGAGGATTTTCGTATCGTTTTATTGGAGGACTTGAGTGGCATTGCGGGGACTAGGCTTGTTCCCATAGACAAGGCTTAGTTCAAAGGATTGGTTTTTTTTTAAAAAAAAGTTTTGTTTTGTTTTCTGTTGCTTTTCTTTGCTTTGTTTGTGTGTTTTTGTTTGTTTGTTTGTTTCGGGCTTTGTCCCTCTCTTTTACCAAAAAAAAATGAACTTGGCGATAGATTTGTCATGAGTTTAATAATAGGATATTTTGGTGTAGAGAGAGACACAAATGACAGTAATGTAAACAAGATTAAATATCATTTAATGATTATCTTTTTTTTTTTTTTTTGACAAAAGCAATTTAACAATTATCAACCCAACACGTATATCAAATAAATGACATTCCACACGACATTAGGATACATACATGCCCATCAGCCTATATGTATCATATACGCTCAGACTCTTGAGTAACATAGAATTGAAGTTATTTCAAGTCACAGAAATCTTTACATTTACCTTTTAAAAGTTGCATAATAGACAAGAAAGCAAACATACTAGAAGTAAAATAGACTCTACAACCTGTCCATTATTTTTCAGTCGTGCCAAATCTCAGTTGGAATTTATTAAATCAGAATTACCACTCGATCGAAAGCCCAACCATGACAAGAAACTGATACAAACTGTAACAACTAAGCAGTAAGTAGTCAAAGCACCAAAATATAGCCATATGAGAATTAAGGATAATCTCACGGGTTTTGGACTTATAGCCCAACAAAGTAGTGCTACTCCCTCTGTCCCTTAATTAGCTTTTTACTTCTCTTTATTATGTGAGGAATAAATGCTAGAAGTATGAATCTAGTTAAGGGACGAAGAGAGTACATTACAACCACATTTTCTTCACAATTATTCATTTGGTGACACTATACACATACACTTGACCATGTCACAGCTAGGCGACTGGCTGGCCGTGCTCAATCCATGCCTAATGACTGCACAAGTAACGTACAAGAGTTACAACTACTTTCACCACTTATTCAATGTTTATACGCGGGGTGAAGAAGAAAATATCGCCTAGCCGGTCATTGCTAGGCGAATTACCACCACAAACCAACAACCCGGGTTTTCCATTGCTCTTTCCACCAGCAAAGGCGCACCATCCCCTTGGGCCTGGATGGTCAGCTGAATTGTAGCCATCTTCCAATTTCTTCCACACTAGTGTTTCTGTGTCCAAAGCATAGACTTCTCCTGAGAATTTACCAGCACCTAAGTGACCTAAATCACTAGGGTCAATCTCTCCACCATATATGAATATGTACTTGCCAATTACAGCAGTTGAAAATACACTTCGAGCAGTGGGCTTTTCGCCTGCTGTTTCAACCTCGGCCCACTCTTTCTTGATGAGATCAAAGCAGTGGACATCATCAACCTCTTTCCCTGCGAATCCATACACAACCCAAACTTTGTCTTGGACAACTGCAAGCCCAGGTCCACCTCTTCCTTTGCAATTTTCACCAGGAGGTGGGAAGTTCATCCATTTCTTATCAATGGTATCATACGCCCAAAGGTCGTTTAACCGGCCAGAGAATCCACAGCCACCAAAAATGTACACATGATGATCATCAGTTGTTGTGGAATGGTAGCTTCGGTGAACTGGCCCGGTTTCTCCACTAGAAAGAAGGGTCCATTTGTTAGTAGTAGTGTCAAAAGAGTAGAATTCATTGAGCTCTTTGTGTTCAGCATCCCTTCCCCCAAAGACATAGATAGTGTCATAAACGGCTGCCATTGAGACACCAACACGTGGCGGTGGGATATCTCCACTGGCTTCACTGACAGACCATGATTGGCCCTCAAGATCAAAGACATACAGCTTGTTATCAACGGGGACTCGTGGCATGAATTCACCCCCAAATGCATAGAGCTTCTTTCCTACTATGGCTATTGCATGTGAACTCCTTGCTCCAGGCCCAATTCCATTCTGTTCAAACTAAAAGCACACAAGTATATAACTAAGAAGCATATCAGAATTTCAGGATTTTCTCTTATAATTTAACTCAGAACACAGCTGATAATCATCATATTAGTTGTTACAAGAAAATATCTGTATGAAGAATACCACTAATAACTTCACAAGATAAGCGTAAACATCTAAGAACTTTGTTTTAGGATATCCAAACAATGGACCAACTCTGTCCTGTCACACAAGTGTATTAGCAAATGTTTTATCATCTTTATTGATCGTATAAATCCTACAAGATTGCAGCTTTTCTAGCCATTGATAACATATTTGCTGATAACATTTTTGTCACTTCAAATTATGGTTAAAACATATAACTAGCTTGAAACTTTGAAAGGGTATAAGCAGTCAAAACCATCATAAACATATCTGGACTGAAAGACAGACCCACTAACAAGAACTATAAGCAAAAGAGTCTTATTTTTAGAACAATAATGACATGTTTGTGCCTGTTTTCATCAACTTGAATCAAAACTATTACAAAGGTTGTTTCAAAATACTCACAAAGGTCAGTGACATTTGACCCCTCGTTGAAAAGACCCTGATCTTAATGTGGCTACATCAAGCCATCAACATCTGGTTGACTTGAAATAAGACTGTTTATGAAAATTTGATTTTCTTTTCTTTATTTTTTATTTTTTTTTGGTCAAACCAATGATTATTGGTGCATACTACTCCATTCATACTCGATAATGGTGAATTAAAGTGCACTTTATTCACCTAATTTGTTAAATCGATCTTGTTTAAATCGTAAATTGGACTCGAGTATCCCTTAGTAACTCTTATTTGAACTAATCTAAACTTGTAAGTTCAATAGAACACGGTCATAATCAAGTTGTTCCAATCCTTCAAAAACAAATTCTAATACCATGCATTATTTCATTTTATGTATACCCTTCACAACATTTATTTTTTCCATCCTCTCTCCACCACTCTTTTAAGCGGGGTTGAATTTGAAAATTCGTAACATATATACACCAAATTGAAAATAATATACGTAACTATTAATTCCCAACTAAAGAATATTACTCTATTCAATGACACAACTCTAATGATGCATGACATATTAGGTAAAAAAAACAAAAATTAAATTCCCCATTTTAGAGAATTGCAAACACATATACATACTACAAATTACATAAACAATATCCTTTTAACTGAAAATTGGAGCTATTCATTTCTTTGATCATAGTTTTTTCAAGGGCCTTATATTATGAGTTGGATTTAACATAATGAAATTTACAATATTCAGAAACTCCTTTGCCTAATAGTTAAACCAAATTAGTCATGATAAAGGATTAAAACAACAAATTGGTGAAAATTTGAGAAAAAAAAAGGACATAAATTAAGAAGCAAACCTTAATCCAGTCACCCTGAATGACCATCGTTCTAGCTCTCCGCTAATTGCCACCTTTTGAACTTCCCACTGGTTTTTGAGAGTAAAGCATGCGGCTTGCCCCTATTTATTTGGCAACGGGTCACCTACCCCTAAAAAACACTTCTATTACAATAAGTGTCTATTCAGATATGCAGGTTGAAGTCGAGTCTATTTCAATTTAATTCATAGTAAATTATTGAGTCCATATAAGTGATTTTTTTTTTTTAAATTCGAGTTAGTTTTTAACATCTCTATCTATTACGAAATACTCCCTTTGTTTTTTTTTTATATGCATCACTTTCTATTTATGGGTGTTTTTTATATATGCATCACTTCTATATTTGGTAACTTTATACTATATTTTATTATCTCTATCTCTTCTCAAATACCCCCCTCAAATTATTTTATCATTTCACTCTCTTTCATGGTCCCCACTTATATTATTAAATAAATCATTCTCTCTCACATACTATCTATTTCATAATTCACATTGTACTTTTATCAAAATAAATTAATCATCCACTTGCCCCACTTGCACAATATAATATTGAAGCAAATAACTTTCCTAAAACTCCGTGTAAATGCAAGTGATGCATATAAAAAAACGGAGGGAGTATTATTTTTATTTGTGGATGATTTTAGATAGGCAATTGTACAAAAATTAGAAAGTAAAAGTTTATAGGGATTGATAGACTAGGTGTCTAGGTACTAAAGTAGAAGATGTCAAACCCCATAAAATGATAATGTAATCGATAGAGGTGGTAGTCACTTTCAATTAAAATTGGCAACATGCAATTCAAACATCACCTATCCCAACTACTCATTTTTCTATGAAATGGTATTTTGGTTTGATTACTTCATTAAATGGTCGAATTCATGCAGTAGACTGTCTAATCATTCATATCTTATGAATTCCAACTCTATTTTTAATCCTTTTCTTATGTGGGGTTATTACTTAATACGCACCCAACACTCCTAGTGCTAATTTGATCATTGTTTATGTTTATATCTAAAAAACTGTTAAAGGACTAACTCAACCAAAAGCTTAAGCTGATGGTTGATGCCCATGAATATGTTTTATACTCTATCACGCCTCACGCCCCCTCACACGAGATGAGATTCGAACCCGTGACCTTTATGTCACGCTGGCTCCGATACTATGTTAAAGGACCAACTCAACCAAAAGCTTAAACTGATGGTTGAGGCTCAGGAATATGTTTTATACTCTATCAGAAACAACATTATAATGTTTCTCAATTCTCACCTTGCTAGGTGCAGTGTTATATACAACCTTCGTTTTTATTTAATTGGTTGCACCATTCTATTATCATGCTTGCCAAAGTATTTTCAAACAAGATCACACTTAATTATTTTTTAAATTGTTACTATAAATCACAAAAGCTAGTCAAAGTGTAATATGTAAATAGTGTAAAAGTTAAACGGTGTAAACTAAAAAATGCCTGTATTAACATTCTACTCCATACCTTGGGTTAGGTAATACACATGACTTCTTTAACAATTATTCTTTTAATCAATTTTTATAAAATGTCAACTCAATTTTTATAATTTCCTTATTGCATCAATTGCGACATTAAGACTATTCAAACGATTTAGGCAAATAGCCAGGCACTTCTCATAAACCGAACAATTTCACCCAATTTTATTTTAGGCCGTAGATACACACAAGATTCAACAATCTTTAATTAATTCGCGAAAAATAATGTGTACAAAAACTATCTCATACACTTGACAAAAACAACCCCAACTAATAATCACAACATAAACTCAACTAATATTCACTTCTACTAATTTAAGTAATTCATAATATGAGCACATATGATGAGTAAACTAATATATTCCCATAACTTTATCCAATTAAATCAAGTGAAACAAAAGTAATACATGAAGAAAATAGCAGAATAAAGAGGCTTCCCAAACAACTCAGTAGTAGTAGTCAAAGTAGAAGCAGAAAAGTTATGGTACGGTACATAAGTATATGGACTACTAGGAGGAACATATTGTCCTTGACCACCTTGACTAAAAGGCGGCCCTCCATTCATTGGAGGGCCATTTGGGTATTCACAACATGATGGGACACTTCCCGGAGGACAATTAACCCCTTGTGAACCCGAACTTGCCGGTGGCGGTGGAGCTTCAGGCGGTGGTGGTGGCGGCGATGGTGGCGGCTTTGGTGGTGCTTGACATGGGAATTGACATATTATGGGACAATTACTTGTACAAGCTTCAACATTATTGTTATCACCACCATCTTTCTTGTGGGATGATAAAGAACAATGGATTGTGGAAATTTGTAACAATAATATGCATGATATTGTTATTTTTTGTAGTATTAACTTTGTAGAGAACATTGTTATATCATGCATGCAATTTTTTTTGTTTTGCCTAAATATAGCTAGTGAGAAAATAATTAAGCTAGTAAAGTGTTAAGTTTGAAGCATAATATTAATTTCAATTGTTTGTGGTTCAATTCTGAAATATAACAGAGCTAGGAAGTGAAATAATAATGATAGAAAATGTTTTGTGACACATAGCCATTTAGAAAGGGTATGTGTCACCTTAGAAAGAATTGTGCATGCAAGTATTTATTTAGTACCGACATAAATAAGAGGTGATCATGGCAAAATTGGATGGTATGTATAGCCCTACATGTCTACATGTTAGAAATATGCATGTTTTATGGGTAGAGTTGAATTATTACCTAGGCAAATAGGTGTAAGAAAATTATATATGGATGTATCAAATATTCAACAAATCGAATAATCAAATTTAAGAGGTATAGATGTATGTATCAAATTTATAACAAATTGAATCAAATACGGAGTAAAGATCCTATTCAACAAATTATAACTATGATCATTGAATCTTAGGGTCTGTTCTCATTGATTGAACTCAGCTGAACTGAACTAAACTGAATATTTTATAAGAGAAAGAAATTAAGAACTGAATTGAACTGAACTGCGCTGAACTGAACTGAACTAAACTAAACTGAATTTCAACGTATGAGAACAGGCCCTTAGTCATTTTTTCCGATTCCGCATAAAAGTTTCACTAAGAGATCAATTTGTTATTTGTACTATATTGAACACAAACAATTCAATTAAAATTGAGCCCTACATAGTCGATCACATATGGGTTATGTTAAATACTAGTAAATTAAAATTGACTACACCCTCATAACGTATATATTATTGAGAATAAAATTAAAGTGAACGGACATAGAAAACAGAATAAAATAAGTTTTATTTATCTCCAACAAGGAAACAAGCATAAGATTGGAAACCTAGAGAGAAATAAGGGATAGAAAGGGAGAGGGTAGATAGTTGTATAGGTTTTTAAATGACACTCTATAATAAGTTTATCAATTGATAAATTAAAACAATGGAACTTGCATGGACCCAATCCACATAAAATTACTCTGGACCAAGCCCATCACATGCCTTTTAGAAGAAAAAAATAAAAAAAATTAAAATTGATTTGGTTTATTCACTCTATATTTGTTATAATCATCTATCTTTTTTAATTCAGTATAATCAGCGGATCACTTTTAAAACTCTTACAGTATTTAGATTACAAGTATATATATGGTATAATTTACCAATAACTTGTATTTTATGTATATCTTTTTCTTCTTGTCTCCACCACCCTTACCATCACCTTCGAGTTTGTAGAACGCACTTGCGCCACAAGTGATGAAGTGAATAGCAAATTCCCTTTGAATATATATCGTCGACGACATCTTTAGGTCCCAATAGATATTGTCATCTTTAGGACCTACCCCGCAAGGATTTGCTATGGTGTAGTCGTACTGGACATAAGTGTTACTCAAAAGACCTATACTAGGTTGAGATATCAAGCCCCTATATAAGGAATGTTTTATTCTCCTCAACTTCCGATATAAAAGCGTCATAGGCGCATTTTGATCTCTTTTAAAGAGTTTTCGTCCCAAGGCCCAACAAGACATCAAAATGGGTCACCATGTGTAATATCTCAAATTAACATAAGCTTACTAGTAGATGTCATCTTTTAATTTAGTCCTAGCTTTCATGGATGAGATAAGTTAGCCCAAAAGGCCTCTATTAGGCTGAGATATCAATTCTCTATATAGAGGGTGGATACCTCAAACTATTATTTATTCCTTTTTCTATACTTCTTCACTTTCAAGTGCAAAATAACCCCAATGGATAGTGGGTGCTTTTCGTTTGCTTAACAACCTCCTTGTTATGACACTTAACAATGCTTCACTAAGCAAACTTCGCCCTTCACCTATTTTTGATCTATTGAATAAGGCAAACCAAAAATCCATTTCTTTTTCCCTCCTTGGATTTGAAGTGATCACTTAAGCCTAACTAGTGTGACTCTACCACTTTTTCTTCTTCTTTTAAAGACCAATTTTATTGATTCAACTCATGAATTAGCCATCGCGTAAAATATAAATGCCCCTTTTAAAGTCTGAGGCATTTTAGGTTGGACTTATCAACAAACTAAAATAATAATGCAATATAAAAATAAAAAATAAAAAATAAAAAAAACTTACCACAGTGACAATTAACTTTCACAAAATTAAATATGTTAGGATTGCAAGTAGTAATTAATGACATCTTTATGCATTTCATGATTTTCATCCGCCCCTATTCTTTAAGCCCAAAAGTTTTCTAAGAACTTTAAGGGTATCTTGACAACATAATAGAAGTTCCTAAAGACCAAGAGATGACTAATTGTTAAAGATTAATTATGCAAATGTATGGATTTTGTAGCACAATCTCCTTCATTCGAGGGTATTTATAGTTTTTTAATTTAGCCCATTTTGCACAATGATATTATCATAAATTAGTGTTTCTGTATTTCTCTATTGGGCTAGTAATGAATGTTTAGTTTGTTTATTTTTATTATTTTATGTAAACGCACAAATTATAAGGTGGACCATCTATGTGGTTCACCATTAGATTAACGCCACATGTTTGCTAGTTGTAGTTTTCTTCTTTCAAATTCTCAATGTTCTTGTTATGCTATTTTTTTATTTTTTTTTGAGGGGATTCTTCTTCTGCTATTTAATTTCACTGATCTTCCCTCTTTCAATTATTTCCTAATTTCTCAATTCCCTCTCTTCAATTCTCTTCTTCTTCTTCTTTTTT